AAATATATATTTTTAATGTGTGTATATATACATAGATATTATATATATGTATTGATGAGTGTATGTTTTCTATTGCATGAGATATAAATGGATGGTAATATAAAAACTAGCTTGTCATCTGTATAAATTATTTTTTCTCATTATTTATTTGCATTTAATCCTTGAATACTCAGGTGAAATAGCATCTCACCAGAGATCCGTAGCCATAGTAGCGTAATATAATGCTGCCTAATAGTATTTTTGGTATCTGCACTGCCTTTCTTGCATACTTGAAGCAGTAGATTGTTTTGTTGTGATGTTCTGGGTGGTACTGGTTAGCTTTTTAGAAAAGCTGTCTTCCTCACCTTTATTGTGACCACTTGATTCCACTGCATTCTGACATTCTGTTAGTGGAAAAGCTTGTGGCTGAAATGCCTTTGTGATCTAAATAGATAATAACCAGAGGCTGAGAGAAGTGAAAGCTTCTAGACATTACATATAGCGCGCTCACTAAGAGCTGAACCTTCTTGAATTTTAATCTGACAACTGGTTGATGTTGTTTCTAATACTCTTGCTGTAACAATGGTAGTTCAAGTTCTCTGCTAAAACACCAGAAGAACTTTCCTGAAGTGGCTTTTGTAGCATGAGGGTGTGGGAGTTCATAAGAGATTAAGGTTACACATTACTAAATAAATATAGCTTTGTTGTAAAATCTCTTTACCAGCTTACTGTTTCAATTTAAGTGTACTGTCTTCTGTTTTCTGTCTTGTGAGTAAGATGATAGTTCATTTCTTCATTTTAAAGATGTCAAAAATAAAAAGCAATTGTTGGGGTTTTTTAATAGGTATTTATGATGATGATCCTGAAATTATAACATTGGATAGAGGAGAATTTGGTAAGTTTTAAGTAAACAGCTATCTGTTTGACAGTATGGTAACCCAAAGTAACAATTTTTACGTTCTGAGCTGCGTATCTATAGACTTCTATTACACATCTAGACAAAAAATTGCCAGAGAATCATCTTCAGATGAGAAAACAAACAAACCCTTAGCACTTCCTGTAAGTGCTAGTTAGCAAATGGATCAATATCAGTAAACAGGTTAGATTAAGTTTGAAAGATACTTTGTGAGATCTGTAAGAGGAAATTATTTGAATTAAAACTTTGTTTCTCTTAATTTGTCATCACTATTTTTTTTGTCTCTTGTCTGAAAATGCACTTGATAGAACTTTTCTATTATATTTCTATTATATTTTTTTTTCCTGTGAAATCCAGTCAATTGTGCCTTGCATAGGAGGTTCAATACCAGAAGGTGATACCAGATACTAAAAACACAGCTAAGTAAAACAAGGTCTGGAAAGATAACGCTTTCAGTGAGGACATGATTTGTGGGTTTTTCCCTTTTAAAATTACAGCTAAGATTTTTATAATTAAAAGAGACTAGAGGGAGAAAGTACTGGATTTTGTGTGATATTTTTTTTCATCTGCATTTTGAGTACAGTTTCCTTTGTATGGACTGAATCTACCTAAAAAGGTTGCCTAGTAGAACCCAGAAAGTACATGAAGTGATATAAGGAAATGTAAAGTTATAGCGGGTAAAAAAATCTTTTAGAACTTGTATTTTGTTTTTAAGGTAACCAGACTTACACTAGCACATATATCAGCTAGGTTAATCTGTAGAGAGTAAACTTATTCTTAATTGATAAAACAGATGTCATGGTGCCGATATCCTCTGAAATAGGATTTTTGCACACTTGCCTACAACAGCGAGTATGTGCAAGTGAGGTTCGGTCTTTATCCTATCAGAGTGACTGTTACTAACTGTGTCTGACATATAAATACTTAATTCAGCTCTTGGGGAAAACAATATAGTAAAAATGTACATTCTAGATATAACTGTATTGTAGATGTGCGTTACTTACAGTTTTCTTCTCTCCATCTAGATGCTGCTGTTAACTCGGGAGAATTATGGTTTGTCAATTTTTATTCTCCTCGATGCTCCCACTGCCATGAGTTAGCACCTACGGTATGTGTAACAAGCAAATTAACTCTGAAAATTCATTGGTTTTAACAGCATAAAACTTAATGAATTTTTACTCGGAAGCTGAAGCCAAAGACAACCATTCAATATGCCAGGAATAAAACATGTGCTAATTTTTCATTATATCTGTATAGGAAAATATCCTTTTTTTTTTTTTCCTCTTTTTTTCTAGTGGAGGGAGTTTGCTAAGGAGATGGATGGAGTAATACGCATTGGAGCTGTCAATTGTGGAGATAATAGAATGCTTTGTCGAATTAAAGGGATTAACAGTTATCCCAGTCTGTATGTTTTCAAAACCGGAATGGTGAGTGATTAAAACTTCAAACATTTTTAGAAAGACTGAAATCTGGAAGAATATTTCTTTAATACTTCTTCAATCATAGATCTTTATATAACGATCTTCCTTTTAACGTATTACTTCCTTTCAGTAAATTATGTTTTCTTTTCCTTCATCTTGGTTAAATTAATTTAGAAAGTTAACTTTGAAAACAGATACGTGGTTTATACAGTGTATTTTTTGAATCATTTTTACTGTGCAACGTATCACTTCTGATTTGGGAAGATGTTGTCGGCAGTGGTGCTGTAGCGATGCAACAAGTCTGCTTACACAGTTTTTCTTATGGTATTGTAATGGACTTTTCAAATACAAAGAGTAGTCTGTGGTTTTGAGTCTAAAGAAAATGACCATGTGCCTGAAGAAACTTGGAAATTCCTTCCACAAGATTTCCTCCATGTAAGCTGCATTATGTACATCATACTTTATAGCTGCTTGTGAAGTAGTGGTGCCAAGGTGGTGTACAAATTGCACTTGAATAGTTTGGCACGTTTTGACAATGATGAGATTTGAGAGGCTGAAGGCAGAGATTGTGCATATGCTAAAGGGACTGACAGAAGCAATTTTTATTTAAATAGAAATATAATCATTGGGAGTTGGTGTTTCTAAGACTAAATTATCCTTGTATTGCTGGACTTGGGAAGAAATCACATTACAAAATTTAAATAAAAGTTAAATTCCAAACATTCCAATAAGGGAGGGAGAGAACAGTGAGAGCTAAGGCTTGGGAGGGGTGTGTGTGGGGTGTCCCACAGTTGCATAGGTACTGTTATAAACAAACAGTAGGTTTTGGTTGGTTTGGGGTTTGGATTTTTGGTTTTGTTGTTGTTGTTTGGGGTTTTTTTAAACTTTGTAAACTTTACTCTTTGTCTTCTGTAGCAACCAGTGAAATATTATGGAGATAGGTCAAAAGAGAGCTTAAAGAACTTTGCCATGCAATATGTTACAAGTACAGTCACCGAGTTATGGGCAGGTAATGTTCACATACTTCGCTTGGGGTATTGTTCTTGAAATTGCTTTTATGATATAAAATATGGCAGAAACTATGTGTACAGCTGAATCTGTCCACTGTCGCTAAGTGTTATTTTTGAGATCAAAAATAGCTTATTGTAATTTGCTGGTATAAATCTAAAACCTTCTTGTTTAACTAGTCACAAACTAATGCAAATTGTTTCGCTCGTAGGAAACTTTGTTAATGCCATTGAAACTTCATTTGCTTCTGGTCTTGGTTGGCTGATCACCTTCTGTGCTGAGCGTGGGGGTAGGTGTATTAAATACTTTTCAAATAAGGTAAACAGGAAAAGAAAGTACTTTGGCTGATAGTGGCATAATCCCTTTTGCTTCTAACAAAAAGTTGTAAAACATCTTAGATGATCACAGCATTTGGATTGCGGGTCATTTAAGATCCATTTGAGAGGCAGTTTGACAAAAGGGACATTAATAGATTATGCTATTGTGCTTCTGTAATGTGACGTGAGTCATTACAGCAGCACTCAAGTGTAACCCCTCAGGAAGGCGACTGGCAGAAAAGGCCTCTGACTTCAGTTTGCAGCTCAAGCTCAAATGACAGGTACTGCATAGGTACATGCCAGCTTGTCATGGTAGCTGAGCAGAAGAAAGGATGTATCTCCCATTAAACCACCAATACTCAAAAATTAGCTGAATAGTTTCTCTTAACTTAGGTTTGGACAGTAATTGGCTTTTACCACTGATGTCATGACAGAGTTTAGATTTGCATTATTTTTTGTAGCTGTTTGACTTTCTTGGGATCAGTACTGGATACAGTATATGAGAAAGTTCCTTGGTTAGCTGGTAGAGCTAAGTAAATGCACTACACCTTTGACAAATAAAAGATTTCGTGGTCTTATGAAGAGACCTTTGCTCTGTGAACTGAATAACCAGAGCTGCAGTCTTGGATTTACATTTGTTAATAGCTTGATCTCAAATTGCAGTTCTTGTGTTACTTAGTTTTCAACATTGGTCCAATTAAAGTGAGGTTGTTGCATCTTCTTATTTCAGAAAAAAATCTGCATCAGAAGGTAACTATTCAAAGTCTGGGTTGGTAATTAGAGCATATGATGTATTTATTATAGTGAGTTATTGTTTGAATCACAGAAAGCTGATATATCTGTTGAAATCTCATTCCAAGACAGTACGTAGATACCTCTTGGGTTGGTTTTTTTGTTGTTTGGTGTTTTTTTAAACACTGGTTAAGAAGAAATTTTAAAGGTAAGTCTTAGTATAGCAAATAAAATATTCAAATTTTTAAAATAAGATATCTGTGTTGATGAAGCAAGAGAATGTTATTCATGTTATTTTTAACTTAGACAACCATGAAGTGCTGATTACTAGATGTTACAACTTTGAGTCACTGAAATACTGGACAAATAGCCAGGAAGCATGCCTTTTGAAATGGTTACTTTTGTAGGGAGGAAAGGGGTCATTCTAAACAAGAGTAGGTTTAGTGCGTTAATAATTTGAAGTTTTATGTTTGTAAATAAATAATTTTTATTTTGCAGATTGCTTGAGTTACCAAACACGCCTTAAGCTAGCTGGCATGTTGGTAAGCAGTGTCTCACTTTGAAAGCATTACCTATTATAGTTATAACAAAATAACAGAAGTGAAAGCATGAAGTTGTAGCCAAAACTCTTTCTGAGTTTAATGAAACCAAGATTTCACCCAATAGCTTTCAAAGAGTGAAATATTTTTACTTAATAGCTATTGGAATAACATTGTAATTCATTAGTTAACATTCATTCATATTTTATAAAATTCTTTAAAAATTCAATGCGGTCTCCTTCCATTTTCTAAACGCTTGTGTTGGGATATAATTGCTTTTATAATTGCTTGTGTTGGGATTTTCAAAAGCAGTTTTGAACCTGAAATTAAAAAATATATTTTGTGTGTTTGTTTTTGTTGGTTTGTGGTTGGTTTGTTTTTTATTACAGGAAGGTCTTGTTAATGTAGGCTGGATGGACTGTGGCACCCAGGGTGAGCTTTGTGATAATTTAGATATCTCATCTAGTACTACAGCATACTTTCCACCTGGAGCCACCATAAATAACAAAGAGAAAGGAGGTGTTTTGGTACGAGTTGTTTCTCAACTGTTCTGTATTTAGATAAAATAAGGTGATGACAATAATAAAGGAATGTATAAATAATTTCCAGATTGATTATATACAACTGAAAATATGCTTTTTTCTTTTTTCTGCTAAGCTTGTATGCTCTGGTATGAGTTTATATGCCTCCTGGCTTCTAAGGCAGCAATCCCTGGAGGTGGTCCCCAGTTTGCTGGTGTGCTGGGAGGGTGAAGAGGAGCAGGCTGCAGCAGCAGCAGCCTGTAGCTCTGCCTAGCCGCCTCCTCAGAGCCTCCCCAAGCAGCCGTGGGAATCCAGGGGTGGGATATGCTCTGTGACAGGCCCCAGAGCTGGTTCTGAAGCTGCTACCCACCTATCCTGGGCAAGCTTGGAAGATTTGCTGTGTTCCCCCAGTTTTTATTCCAGAACGAATGTGCCCCAGGTATCCCAAGTTTGAGAAATGCTGCTCTGAACGGAGTACTGACGTGTGTGATAAGAGCAGTCCTGCGTTGTCTGTCGGCATGGATTATGTTCACCCATATTCTAATATTGCAACCTCCTCCTCCTACATTCGTATGCTACTTGTAACCTCCTTAATCAATGGGAGGCATTTCTCAGTTTGAAGAGCAGCTTGTTCCTTTATTGTCACTACTGTTATCTATATCTTTAAAAGGAGGAAATTAAATTTGTAACCTACCTACTTTCAACCTTGTAACTTACCAACTCATATTACGTCCTAAACTGTAAAAATTACTGAAATTTAAATATCTCTACAGTGCAGTTAAGGCTGTAAAACTAGATTGGAAATCATGTAAACTTGATTGGAAAATTTGTTTTGAAATTTGAATTTGGGACTTTTAACATCCATTTTGACAAAATATGATATTTTGAGATTAATATGGTAGGAAAACAAGCTAAAAAGCAGTATTCTGAGAGTACTATTTGTGAAACTACATATATGAAAAAGAAATTGATCAAATAACATATTACTAACTGTACTCTTCAACTGATGGAAAGGAACAAATCAGAATAATTTCCTTGACAGTTTGAGTACTAGTCAACAACAATCAGGTTGATGTTTGTAATTCCTTGTAATAAACACAATTAACTTTCCTTCCTAGTTTCTTAAGTCCTTGGATGCCAGAGAAATATATCAGGAAGTAATGCAGCATCTGCCAGACTTCGAAGTTATCTCTGCAGCATCATTAGAGGTAATTTTTTAAAAATATGTTAAGATTTCTTTAAATAATATATTGTTATATTTTTTATCATTACTTTTTACATTTTTTCAAATCCTGTTGATAGAACAACCTAGTCTTTATTTAACTGAAAATGACTTTTTTTTTTCCCCCCCTCTGTGGCCAAAATTATTTAACATGGTTTGTCTACGTGCCAAACAACAAAAGTAAGAGGGGGCCTGTATTTAACAGGAAAACAGAAAACCACAGAAATTGCCATTGCAACTCAGTCTGCACTTCTAACTTTCTAGATTTTTTTTTTTTTTAATCAACTGCATTGTACGGAATATTATTTTAAATATATTTTGTCAGTAATGTAAGAAAGAAAAAAATTGTTAATCCATGATAAATTATGTATGAACTGAAATTAGAAGTCATAAAAGTTACTCATGTCTTGGAGGAAAAAAAAGAGGAAACCTCTTTTTGCACTTGTAGTAGTACTTAGCATCTTGATCTACAGTAGGAAATGCACATGGAAACAAAGAGTACAGAGGGTAGCACGTAGCCAGCTTGCTTTCAGATTTTTTCCTCTTTCCTGCTTATGATGAAGTAAAGTGAAGGTTAGTGGAAGGACAACATGAAAGACCTTGTTGAGTGGAGGAGGTCACTCAGAGATCAGATGAATAATTGGCCATTTGCCTTATAAAACATAAAAGGAATTTACAAGTTGGTATAAGTTGGGAATAATATTTTTTTCTCTGTGTTTTTGTTGTGGGGTGGTTTTTTTTCCTTTGTTTAAAGGACCATCTGGCTCATCACCGATGGCTGCTGTTCTTCCAGTTTGGGGAGAGTGATAAATCGAATGTACAGGAATTTAAAAAACTTAAATTTTTACTTAAAGATGAACATATTCAGGTAAGACTGTTCACTTGTCTAGTGTTAAATACCATTTACAATCAGAGAACCAATCAGTATGTTTTTCATTATTATTAGCTGTAACTACCACCTGCCACCTTTGGTACTGAAAGAAATATACTCTTGTATGGTAGATCTGTAGTAAAGTTTTTAATTTAAAGCAAGCAATGAAGTTTCCCATATGGTTTGAATAATTTAAAAGTAGTTAGGAAAGATTATCTTTTAAAACTGCTCTCTCATGGGAAATGTTGCTGCAGATCCTATTCAGTTAACAATTAAAAGTCAACACTTCAACATCAATTTGATGGTTGTGAAACTATATTTTAATTAGTCAGAAAACCCTATATTATCTTCAAAATTTTCTTAATAAAAAGAAACCAAGTTTAAACTTTGTACTAAAGACATATAGAGTGTTATTCTATAAGGTATATATTTTTAAAAAATCATTGCATTGACTAGAAGAATTTTAATGTCACATCTATTTTAGGTGTCTTTTTGCCTCCTTGCTATTTTGTTTGGAGGGGGGAAAAAAAAGAGGATTCTTCAAGGTTTTATTCCCCATTTTAGCCTTTAAAAATTAGCAAACAACCTCATATAGCTGTGCCAGTAGGTTTCCTCAAACATCATAGTTACAAGATTGTCTTAAGACCACTCTTGTTTATAAAAGGGCTACTACTTTTCCATATTTTTACCTTTTCTTAATGAATCTATCATAATTCTTACTGCTTTTCAAAATATGTTCATCTATGTAAATTAGGATGCCTTAATTAAAATGGCACTGTCTGTTAAATAGGTTGGCAAGTTTGACTGTCTTTCCTCACCAACCATCTGCAACAAACTATATGTCTATCAGCCTTGTTTAGCAGTCTTCAAAGGAAAAGGAACTGGAGATTATGAAATTCATCATGGTAAGGGAAACTTCGGCAAGTTTAAATCATTACGTAATCACTTTGGTATTACACTATCTTTGGCAAACTGCATTTGTTTTCCCAAAGAACAGTTTTGTAGTTTTAATATTTGCTATTTTTCTTCTGACCTTACTGTAGCCTTGCACAAATTCATCTCCTTTGGGTTTTTTTTTGTTTTTTCCCGGGTAAATAGTCATCAGATGCCAAGAGATGTATTTTGTCTTTACAATTCTGTCTATTTCAATATCATACATAAGTACATACAAAGGAAATCTCTGAAGCTGATCAGGACAGCTTCTGCTTTGGGTAGGATAACCAAAGAATGCTGTAAGGCACACCCTTCGTAGAGGCTTAACGTGCTCGTTATACAGTGCTGCCAACTTGAGAAGCTTGGATTTGATTTCATGTGTCACTGGACTAAAATTTAATTCCATGTTTTGTGGACTTTCATCCAAGAAAAATCTATATTGTGACTTTTACTTTCATTTCCAAAGTTGCAGTTTCCTTCCAGGAAAGGTTGGAACTATGTTACTGTGTACCACTGAAAGTATTCAAAAATGCTGGTTGAAAAAGAATGGAGCCTTAAGCAAAACTGTATATTGCAGCAATACATGTAGCTTCATCCAGAATGCAGCACAAGACATTTATGCAAGATGAGGTTCTCAGTTTCAGCCTCTGAAGTATTAGAAACAGCTTGCTAGAATGAAGTCAGAACCTCAGTACTGTAATAAAGAAGGAGAAAATTTTTTGCCCATTTAGAAAAGATTAGTTGTATCTAAGCGGAAAAGACGATCCCATACATCTAATGATTGCTGCTGGGAAAAGCCTTATGTACTCTCTGAAATTTCCACTCCTGTAGAAAACCAAGAAAGGGTCATATACATACGGCATTTTTAGATCTTTTTATAATGGCATAGATTACAAATAGTGTAAGAGAAATACATTGGACTACGGTACATATGTTCTTTTCTGAGTGGTTTGGTTTACTGTTTACAAAATAGAGAATGTTTGCCAATAGTCATCTCACTCCAGTATTTATAATAATATAATACTTGAAAGAATCAGTGGTTTTTATATACTATGTTGATGGGCTTCAACAGTTTAAAATCTAAGAACAGTAATAAACCTTAGTAAGTCATTGTGCAGTGACTTCAGATTTAATTACCCTGAAGTTCTTATTCTCAGTTCAAGACACAAACTCATTTCTGCTGACAAATCTGTATGTGAAGGGTATGAAGAGACTTGATCTTTGCCCACTTGAGCT